TGCTGAAGCTGGGAAGCAACGCAAAGAAATGGCACGTGTTGCAGAGATCAGAGAAAGCAAGAACAAGCCAAGAGCCTAGCTCCCATACCAGGGTGCAAGACAACTCTTCCAGCACCGTGGAAGACGAAGGAACCTTACTTTATGTTTGCTTTTAGACTACTCTCCCACTCCGGTTTAGATGTTGGTTTATTTTTTTTTTTCCAAACTCTCCTGGCCTATGCAAAAGTACAATGAAATACCGAGAAGTTTAAGTGAAGCATACGGAAATGGTACATTTCTCAGCAGAAAGGATGCAGATTCAGCTTTTTAGCCTACCCACAAATCATAATTTTGAGAATAAAGGTTACGTAACGGGAATAAAATGACATGCAATTTGGGAAAAACAGCAAATCTATTAAAAAAGGCAGAATGTTGCTTACATGAATTAGACTGCACGCTTTCACACGCCATCAGTTAAATATAAACAAAACTGAAACGCTACTTTCCAAGTATCTCAATGAAAAGTACAACGTATGAGGCCATGGAGAGGCCAAAAATACCTATTTCTGGCTTTGCTTTTGATTCAGCAGAATCTCTCAGAAGAGTTTCACTTTCTAAAACAAAGAACAAGAGTGAGCAGGCCACGTCTGAATCACTCCCTTAATTCAAGGACCTATTTTTCAGAACTCCTACTTCCCAAGATCCATCCCAAAGAAAAGTGAAAACTACCAAACTATGAACATACAACCCCAAAGCGTTACAGCACCTCTGGGAACAAAACCCCATACTTTACAGGTTTACAGAAAATTCAAACCCAAATGGAAATAAAGTTATTTCAGAACACACAAAGTGCACCCATCACAGAATCACAGAATGGCAGGGGTTGGAAGGGACCTCGGGAGATCACCCAGTCCAAACCCCCTGCTCAAGCAGGGTCACCCAGAGCAGGGGGCACAGGACATCATCCAGGCAGGGTTTCAATGTCTCCAGAGAATAAGACTCCACAGCGCCCCTGGGCAGCCTATGTCAGGGCTCGGTCACCCTCAGAGTAAAGAAGTTCTTCTTCACATTCAACTGGAACCTCTTCTGCTTCAGTTCATGCCCATTGCCCCTTGTCCTGGCACTGGGCACCACTGAGAAGAGTCTGGCTCTGTCCTCGTGACATCCCTTAAGATATTTGTAAGTATTTATGAGATCCCCTCTCAGCCTTCTCTTCTTCAGGCTAAACAAGCCCAACTCTCTCAGCCTTTCCTCATAGGGGAGATGCTCCAGTCCCCTCATCATCTTTGTTGCCTGCCTCTGGACTCTTTCTAGGAGTTCCTCATCTTTCTTGAACCGGGGAGCCCAGAATTGGACACAGTACTCCAGATGGGGTCTCACCAGTTACCTAGTTAACTTTAACAAGTTAGCTCTTCTAAATTCAAATTCAATTTTGAGCCAGTCTTCTTGACCAGATAAAAATCACATCTGATTTTTATCAGACCTTCTTTAAATCACTTCCTTATTGATTTAACATCATCTCCTGCACACCCATGAATTTCACCATAACAAGCAAAACAGAGATGTGCCTGAGATCTTACTCTTCCAGCCTGCTCTGTAGTAAGTTCCTGCATGTTAAAGAAGCCCAGCTGAAATCAAAGCAGCTCTGCAGAGACATACAAGTTCGTACCAATATAAAAGGCCTTTTTCATGCTTAAATTCTTTGTGTAATCACTAACCTTTTACCACATTCCCACAATGTTGCAATGGGCAGTGATTCACTTCCAGTGGCGACCAGGTTTGGAAGAAATCCACTAAAACTCAGTATTGTGTGGTATAGTGACCATTACCACATCCTCCCACAAATCGTGCAAAGATGTCATCCAGCCTCGAAAAGCAGAGTAAAGGCTGGATAGCAAATCTTCTACTTTCTAAAGCAGTTCTCAACTACACCCATTTTCAAGAGAAGTTATTAGACATTACATAGATACCACTGTTCAAGGTCACTTCATTAAGAAACTGGCAAAAACCTGGCAAAAATTCAAATACGAAAATGCTGAACAAAAGAACTACCATGATGTTGAGCTGCAACTAGGAAGGCATGCGACTCAGAAGAGAGTTGCAGTAGGACAACAAACTTTAGATGGATGTAAGAATGCAGAAAAGAGATTCTTCTATAGGAAAGCGAAGGTTTCAACGCTTCCTGTAAAGCTATAATTACGTTAAATTATTGAAAATTTACGAGAGTTTAATCTAGGACCATCTTGCTGAGAGAGGAAATACCGTCAACCTAATCTAGCTGTAAATTCCTGCCACTCCTTCTCTGCACTTTTTGGCCTACATTATTCAGAACATTTATAGCAGGGATTGGGCAAGCCTATTTGCAAAACATCCTTATTGAAAGTTGTGTCAATTTTTTTTACAAAGGGAAATGGGGGCAGGGGAACAATGAAGTCCTCTGGGAGGCTGCTAGCAAAATTATTTCTTTCAAGAACAAAAACTACAAGGCCTCTTTCAAACCCAAGGTCCCTAGGAGTGCGTATTTCATAAAAGTCTAGCCAGCCTTTACAGGATTATCCTCTCGCAGAATACCTTATAAATTCATTAAAAGGGATTTTTACTAAACTCATCAAAAAATGGCAGTGGGATATGCACAGAGATTAGCAAACAATACCAAGAAAGAAGAGAAAGGTGACACAGCTACAGACCCATAACTCTAAAGTTAATTAAAAAACAAGGAAGTGAAACAAGTTTTGAAGGAAACAGATATGGAAGTTGAAAATGGGAGAAAAGTTAAAACTGTCAAGAAACCTAATCTCTTTCTTTTTCACCAGACTTTCTTTTTTTTTAAAAAGGAAAAAAAATAAATAATGCAGCAGACCTCCTTGGAAAAGCAGAAGTTGGAGAATTTTCAACTAAGGCACAAGGCAGAAGTGCAAAATAATTGAAAAAGAGATTATTGGTTATGTCTGTAAGAAATATAGTATATCAGAAATTAGGTGAATGCATGTGGATAGACCTGGGCTTAGTTCTGTACAGCATTCTTATATTTCAGTACTGGATTCCTTGAACGCTGGTCCAGGGAGCGATTTAATTTTTTTTTAGTGACCAAAGACTGCCTCTCAACATTTTATCTTCAGCATGTCTGTCAACAGAAAGGAGGACTAGATTATCAGAGGAAGAAATGAATGAACTCACAGACTGAAATGACAGGAATGGGATTAAATATGATGGCCAAGAACAGGCCTTTCAATGTGAATATGAATCCTTGTTCCAAATGTAGGATTAATCTATTTGAAGAGGCAGAAAAGTGAATTAAGATCGCATGGTGATGACCATAAGCCATCACTGTATGCACCAACCCCCCTACATCTGTTTCCAGTAGAGGCAGGGAAAGTAGTGGTGTCTTCATGCAAGCCAATAGTAGAATACAGTGTTCTCTAGTTGTCAATAAGAGAAAAGAGAAAGCACGTCAGGTGCAGAGAAGCATCCCTCAGCTGGGAGTGATGAACGGGAGCTTACAACATCAGAAGGGACAAGAGCTGCTGAGCTCACCTAGCCTAACAAAACAACGGCTGGGTGGAACAAAACTGCACTCTGTAAATGCCAAGGATGAAAGGGAGCTATTTGAACTAAAGGATAATACTGACAAAAGAATAAATAGATACAAATTAACCCTAAATAAATGTGGGCTAGAATCAAGAGGAAAGCTTCCCACTGAAGAGGAGATATTTACAGCTGCTTCCCAACAGAAACAGGCAGTATGATGAACCTACTTGCTTTCAGGGTGAAGCTCAGTAAGCTCAAAAACCAGATTACGTGATGTGGTGGCCTATCAGAGTAGTAAAGC